CCCCCCCCCCCCCCCAAAAAAAAAAGATGTTCATGGCGTGCGCTGTGTCATAGAACCCTTAGATCCCAGTCAAGGTGGCACTGACAGGGGAAATAAATTAAGTCAATTCATTTTTGTTTCCCTTTTGTTGGAATCCAATTTATTTTGTGCGTTTCTTTTTAAACAGTTTAGATGTCTACCTTAAGGTGTCAAGTGTTGTCTTGGTGTTATCGCTTGGTTTTAGTAACTTAACCTCAGCTGTGAAAATGTCGTCCCAAGAACAAAAATTAGCTCTTTATTGCGGGATGGCGTCAACTGCAGGATGTGCCACGATTTCGGGGATCTTCTTACTATAATACACGACCCCGTAAATTTAATTTTTCTTGCACTCATAAAAGTTATCAACATTAAAACTTATTACAGGGATAACTTTCAATTTTTTATTTACCACAGACCCCTACTTTTAATAAAAATCGTTTTTAAGAAAGAAAATAAAAGGAATGCATGTTTAAATTTTTAAAACGATGAAAGCAAGTGTATAAACAAAATATTTCGAATTCAATTGAGCAGGGAACTTTTTTAAATGGAATCGCTTACTTTTTAGGCTTGTGGATTAGATGCTTTCATTAGAATTAAAAACATCTTTGGGATTACAAATTATGCTACCATACCTGTCATTTGTAACTGATAAGATAAAAATAATAAGATTGTAAAAAAGATACCAGTTAAAAGCTGCAAAGGTTGTATGTTTAGCTATATCTTTTTTTTTTTTCCTTTTCAAAAACTAGACCCTTAAAACATTTTGTTTGTCACACAATGGTACTCAAAACAACAAGCACATTTTTGTTAAAAAGTACGCACGCTCTCTACCAGATCCGAAATTACAATGGTTCACAACAGAGGCGTAGCGTGGTGGGGGCAGGGGGGGGACAGATGTCCCTGGGCGCCAGCTAGTTAGGGGCGCCAAAATGTGCTTTGATATTATTTTATTGATGAAAATAATGGGTTTGAGAGTTGAAAAAAAGAAAAAGGGGCGCTAAAAATGGATCTTGTCCCCGGGCGCGAATCTTGTCCCCGGGCGCCAAACACCCTCGCTACGCCACTGC